AATCAAGAATTAATGAGAAGTAGAGGTTGGTCCCAGAAAAGCTGAATGTGCAGGTGAAATTTTGATGGCAACAAGATGGTGGTTTTCGTGGTGAGGTACATTATTGTCTTATCCTTTGCCTGGTTTTGTAGTTTGAGGTGGAAAAAAAAACCCAAAGGAATGAAGAAGGCAGAGAGGGGACTAGCACTTAAGGCATGGGTGAAGCATAAGGATTTATGAGAAAAATTGAGAGAGAGAGAGAAAGAAAGAGAGAGCGAGAGAGCATCAGCTTATGTGGTGGGACAAGGACATAGAAAGCTCAAGAGAGACCAGTGGAACAGCTCAGGTTCTCATGTGGATTTTCAATCATTGACTCTCCTAGAGAAATAGATGAGGTAGAAATTGATGGAAATGGGTGGAAATGATCATCATAACGTCTTGGAGATTTGCTACAAAAATAATTAGACTTTGGGGTCAGGTAGCTACAGTACTAGCACAAAAGCAGGCTTTGGTTTTAGCAGTTCAAAGCCACAAGACGATGATCCTTCTGAAAATATCATAGATTTTGTTTTCCCCTTCCTCCTCTCCTCCCTTCCTTCTGAATTCCTTCCTTCCTCTCCCTCTCTCCCCTTTTCTCTCCTCCCTCCACTCCCCTCCCTTCTTTCCTTCGTCCCTCCCTCTAGCTGAATTCCTTCCTTCCTTCCTTTCCTCACCCCCTCCTCCTTTTGATCTCTAGACCTCATGCATCTACTCATCAGAACTGGGTATCAGGCAGCAACAAAGCATCTCTGCTATAAAACGTGGATGGCGGGAAAGAAATAAGTTTTCTTTTCTTTCTTGAAATATTGATTTCTGAAGCTGGGTTTCTCTATAAGAGTTCACTCAGAGTTGTTCAACGCTAGACACAGCGTGGGGGCCCCCCTTTTGATTTAATTGATCCCTCAGTGTTGGGAGATAATAATGCGCCCGAATATTAAATAATGGATGGCATTTATTAACGCCGGAGAGAAAAAGGAAGAGAAAAGGCTCAGAGAACTCTGCTCTCAGAACAAGCCTTGGGGGAAATGCACCAAAAAGAGCTCAAAATAAGAAGGTCCAGAGAGTATTGCAGCTGAAAATATAATGAGCAGATGGAGATATCGGAGTTTATTGGGTGGAAGGGGCAAAAAGGAAAAAAGAAAGCAGCTTAGTTTCATTGGAGGATAGTTTTCACGATGGGATTGGCTTGCCCCACAGCCTGGCCAAAGGGGCATTTCTGGATTCTGTTGGACAAGGAATTTCAGTCGGCGAGGTCTGTGAGAAGAGCTTGGTTTGTTTTCTTGCAGACGTTTCATCACCCAACTAGCTGACATCATCAGTGATGGAAGGGAGTGGGATTGTGGTATGATGGAGGAGGAGGAGGAGGGTCTGTGGGGTCCTTGCTGGCTTCTCAGCTTGTTTTCTTGCAGACGTTTCATCACCTAACTAAGTAACATCATCACCTCTCTTAAGCAAACCCCACACCTTCCTAGCCAGGGGTGGGACACACATTTTTAAACTACCGGTTCTGTGGGTGTGGTTAGGTGGGCATGACCAGATGGTCATGTGACTGGCTGGGCGTGGTTTTTTTCCCCCCTCCTGGGTCCCCAGGAAGCCCCCTGGGAGCAAAAACGGGGCACGGAGGGGCACGTAGCACCCATGCGCACCCCAGTTTTTGCCTCCTGGGCCTCAGGGAAGCCTCCTGGTCAAAGCAGTACAACAGCTTTGAGGGGGATCAGCTGTGCCATGCGATTTAGATTAGCTGGAAAGCAAGAAATCCAACATTTCCTGTTTTCTAGCTGATCTAAATCACGCAGCACAGCTGATCTTCGGAAAACAGCTGATCGGTGGGAAAAAGAAAAAAAAAAGGAAATACCTTGATCTTCGGAGCTACCAGTTCGCTCGAACCGGTCTGAACCGGTAGAATCCCACCCCTGCTCCTAGCACGGATGATGTTATCTAGTTGGGCAATGAAACATCTGTAGGAAAGCAACCAGGCTCAGAGACCACCAAGGACCCCACAGTTCAATCCTGAACTGCAAATATTCTCCTCCATCAAGATCCCTTTCTGACGCTGTGCCCTCCCCTCGGTGAGCTCCCCACCCACCGTCTTGGCCTTCTGAAAGTTGTTGGCCAGAGCTGTAATCCTGTTTTACCAATCCCAGGAACGGGCTTTACACAGGCAGTAAGCCAACGCTTGAGTGCAGCCTGTGAACCCGCAAACCCAACTCCTTCAATGGAAGGTGGCCTGACCCCGTTATTCCTTCCTTCTCGTCCCGTCTGCTCATCCTCGTAGGTGATGGGGAAGGAGCACGCCATGGAGCAGATGCCTGAAGACGGCGCCTATGTCAAAGGCCTCTTTCTGGAAGGAGCCCGATGGGACAGGGTAGACATGCAGATCGGCGAATCCTTCCCCAAAATCCTTTACGACGCCTTGCCCATCATTTGGCTGAAGCCCGGAGAGAGCAGCAAATTTTTGCATGAGCGGATCTACTTGTGCCCCGTCTACAAAACCAGCGCCAGGAGAGGCATCCTGTCCACCACCGGCCACTCCACCAACTACGTCCTCTCCATCGAACTCCCTTCGGACCTTCCCCAGAAGCACTGGATCAACCGGGGGGTGGCAGCCCTTTGCCAGTTAGACGACTGAACTGTACGCACAAAACGCAGGTTATGTTATTCCCGCACCTTCCCATTAAAAGGACGTAAGCTTTGGCCCTCGTTGGAATGAAAACCCTCGGTCTTCAAAGGCCTCTTATCAAAGACCCAGAGTTTGCCCTCTGGCTGCATAATTGCAGAGTTGGGGAATGGAGAAGGCAAGCTTTGCCAGTGACGGAGCTCTAGGTCGAGATCCAGATTTGAAGGGCGAAAGCGGGCAGGGGTGGTGGTGGTCAGAGGCCTGCCAGGAACCCTTGAAGGCAGCCACCTCTTTTCCCAGGATTGCTCAGCTCTTTCTCGGCTCCTTTCCGAGCAGGCTGGAGGAAAAAGTGCATTTGTCTTTAAGATGTTCCCAATGGGAGCTATGTGTGCATCAGGGGTGTGTTGTGTGTGTGTGTGTGCTGAATCCAATGGGTGAATCTGGAATATCGCCCCTGTTTGTTTACCTTCTCTCTCTATATATATACCCAGCAGGGGATTTGAACAGTTTTTGATGCCATTGGGCAGAGAAGTCCAAGACGGGTCCAGCATCACTGAAGGATAATTGGTATCTTAAGCTAGGAATGTTGGACTCTTTCTGGGTTGATGGTTGCCCCCGCCCTTTGCCAGTGGTGGGATTCAAATATCTTTACTACCGGTTCTGTGGGCGTGGCATGGTGGGCGTGGCATGGCTTGGTGGGTGTGGCTTGTTGGGCGTGGCAATGGAAGGATACTGCAAAATCCCCCTTCCCTCCCCACCCCACTAACCTGCTTTCCAGCTCCGTTCTCCTGTGCAGGGCAACCAAAGGAGATACAGCCGATCAGCTGGGACTCAATGGGGGGCGGAGAAGAGATGGGGTTGGCAGGGCCAGTCAGAGGTGGGATTGGCCGGTTCTCCGAACGACTCAAAAACTTCCGCTTCCGGTTCTCCAGAATGGGTCAGAACCGGCTGAATGCCCACCTCTGCCATGGACAGACAGCAAGTGTGGTTAAGGCCAAAACCAAACGTCAGTTTGTTTACCACTGAATGTGTTTAGAATTCAGTACTAATGACTATATAGGCAGTCCTCGACTTAACGACCACAATTGAGACCAAGACTTCTGTTGGTAAGTGAGACATTTGTTAAGTGAGGCTTGTCCCATTTTTCTTGCCATTGTTGTTAAGGGAATCGCTGCAGTTGTTCAACTAGTAACATGGTTGTTAAGTGAATCGGGTTTCCCCATGGACTTTGCTTGTTGGGAGGTCGCAAAAGGGGATCACGTGACACTGCTACCATCGTAAATGTGAGTCAGTTGTCAAGCATATGAATGTAAATCATGTGATCCCGGGGGAGTGCTGCAGTGGTCATACGTGTGAAAAAATGGTCACTTTTTTCAGTACCCCATGGTCATGTGATCAAAATTTGGATGCTTGGCAACTGGTTCGTACTTATGACCATTGCAGCGTCCCAGGGTCATGTGGTTGCCTTTTACAGGTCAATGGGGAAGCCAGATTCATTTAACAACCACGTTACCAACTTAATAACTGCAATGATTCACTTAACAATTGTTAGGTAGAAAAGTCTTAAAATGGACCAAAACCCGTGTAACAAATGTCTCACTTAACAACATACATTTGGGGCACTTGTGATCTACCTGTATCTTTTTGGGGATGAAATGTAACTTTGAAATTTAGAGTTTGGTCATTAAGTGAGGACACTGTAGGAATATCAATAACACCTGAGGAGATGTACCTGTTCTGACCCAAACCTTGTTCCAAGGAAACAAACACGAAACGGAGGTAACCGCAAAACCTTTTAATGATTCTTTACGAATTCCGTTCCTTCTCGGTTAAAAGGCTGATTCAAACTAATTGTCTCTGGTAAGAACGAGCCTTGCCAAGGTGGTGCAAGGCTGCCAAGAACACCAGATAAAGTTACTAAGAAATATTTCAAACACAAAGAGTCTCCAAACACAAACTAAGATATTCCGAACATCCACAAGGCTTAAGTGCAAAAACTTCTTTGCTTCCTGCAAAGGACTCCGGTTTCTCAACTGGCTTTTATCCCTGAAGGGAGGGGCCATCACCTTGCAGCCTTACTCCCGAGTCGCCCGTGCTGCTGCAGCTGCTCTTTCCTTCGAGCAGCCCTGCGCGCATGTGCACTGGGCACAGGCTCCTCGGGGAACTCTTCCTCACTGCTGCCAGCCTCCACCATCTCCGAAGGCAGCACTCCACTCCCTGATGGTCCTGGCCCCATCCCTGCATCCCACGCAGGCCCCTCATCTGAGTCCTCGCTCTCCGAGACCTCAGCCGTCCACACCTGCTGTCGGCAAACCACAACAGTACGCAAGTAGAACATAAAACTAATCGAACCTTGATCTTTTTCTACCACATATTTTTATTTTCCCACAATGCTGCTTTCTTTCACACAAGGCAGGTTTAGCTCCTCCTTGTCGTCTCTCCTTGGGATCAAGTGGATTCCCGACCTTGAAAAAAAAAATCACCTGGTGGTAACCGTACCAATTTCCTTTTCACCTGTAGTCATGCATGCCAAGTGCATCAGTCAGGTAGTCTTAAGACGATATCAACCTGCAGCTGGATCAGGAGCTATGAAATTTCATCCTGAGATTTCAAATAAACCGGTTTAGAGATCTTCCTTAGCTTCTCCTGGTGTCGAAATGCCCGGGCTTGTGGCAGTGCGAGGCCCATGGGTGGCAAATGAATCTGTTACGGTAAGAAGAAAAGGAAAACTGCTTTTAAAAAAAGACTCTGAAAAACATCCAGGCCTTTTTCAGATACCATGTTTAATTTTTTTTTTCAATGAAACTTTCATTTTAAACAAGAAGGTAAAAGCTAACACAAACTAACAGACAGCAAGAAATAGAGAAAGCAAGGTAACCATTGCAAGAGCCCTTAGACTTATATACCGCTTCTCGGTGCTCCCCAGCCCTCTCCAAGCGGTTTACAGAATCAGCCTATTGCCCCGAATAATCTGGGCCCTCCATTTTACCGACTTGGAAGGATGGAAGTCTGAGTCAACCTTGAGCCGGTCAGGATCAAACTGCTGGCAATTGGCAGTGAGTTAGTCCCTGGCCCACCGGTGGCCCACCGGTGGTCCCTGGGTGGTCCCTGGCCCACCGGTGATCCCTGGGTGGTCCCTGG